CACTATGTCCTGGGGCTCCAACACTTGAGGAGGACACACTTTTCAGCTAAGACAGAAACGAGGTCTGAGGATCACCCTGCAGAGTCCGGCCATTCAGGACTCCTGCGCTTCCCTCTAAGGGCTCTCCTGTTTTGACCTCAGGACAGTTTCTGTTCCACCTAATTCCTGCTCCCACCTCCCTCCACCTTCCCTGGAGGCCCAGCCTTGCCCCTCTTCCTTCTGGCTCCAGGGACTGGAAGTGGCCCCAAGCCAATGCTCAAGCAGGCCCAGGCTTAGCCCCAGCCCCAGCCCCAGCAAACCAGGGAGGCAAAGGGGAGCCAGGCGGCTTGGCTCTAGGGACCTGGCAGCTTGCTGAGCATGAGACAGGCCCAGACACAACTCTCTTGTGAAGTTTCCTTCTTCAACAGTTGGCCCGCTTATCAGGTGGGCAAAGAATAATTACTACCTAACACCAAAAATGTGTCAGGCTAATTTGTGCAAGTTTTACTTGATTGCAACACCAGGCGGGTCATCATGCTCTCTTGGCTGGCCATTTCCCTCCCTAGATTGCTCCATAGGCTCCTGGCAGGCAAACAGTTTGTCATTTAATGTTTGAAAGCCCACTGCTCCTACTTGTCAGCCTTGTAGCTTTTCTTTGTCTACATCAGCTGGAATAAACAGGAACTGCTTCTATTTTAAGCAGAAGATCAGATATTTTCTGGCTACCCATAAAGAAAAGGAATACTAGTCATGTGAACTTGAAAATCTAATCTCCTCTCAATCTCACACCCCCACCCCAACCAATCTGACTGACAACCTGTGTTGTGGTTGAGGAATTAGAAACTAAGCTGGTTTCGCCTTTCTATTGATGGAACAATTTCCTTTCTCCTTCTGGGTCTAGTATTTCCTGTAATGCCTCTTCCAGTTCCTTCTCAGCTTGTATAAGCGAGACCGAATCAAAGAAGAACCCCAAAGGAGGGTAGCTGTAGACTACTGTGTTTGCTATTGTATTATAAGGCTCAAGTGGCCAGATCCTGTGAAGGGATCCAGGAACATTGCAGAGAAAGGCAGCCTTGCCGAGAAACACAGAGATCCCATACCCTTCTCCAACCAACCCTTCCCCCAGCACACCCCCGCACTCCACATTGTTAAGACACAAATAGCCAAATCCTGGAGTTTGGAGAAATGGTACTGTCACGCCCTACTTTCTAGAAGTTTCTACCCTGAGTTCCTCTTGAAAAAAGAACGGAGCAACAGAAGCTGGTGAGGCACTCACAATTAGGCTCAACTATTCTCCTGTTAGACATAAACAATCTCACAGAATACCAGCCTCACAGTGTCACTCTGAGACCATGATAAAATGACGCAAGCCAAGGCCACTGCATAATTTTGTCTATGCACAAAAACAAGGTCACTGTGCCACCCACAAAAAACCAAACACCTGCTTTCTTGGCTAAAATTAGTGACTGCTATGTCTTCCCAATTACAGCTTTATCCTCTTGCTAGTCTCCCTCCTAACAAATAAAACTTACTGAAATACACAACCACAGACTTGCCCCTGCTTTCTGATAATATCCAACAGAGCAAACCCTTTCTTGGACCCTCCCCAAATGACCCAACCAAAGCCCAAATGCTGTAATAGTTCTAACTTCCTTCTACTGAGTTGCTTCATGGATCCCCCATGGTGTGTTCTCACTCACTGCAACGATTGCAACTAGTCACTATCCCAATGTTTTTCCAAATAGAGCTCTTGAATTTATTCCTCCACTGAAATTTTGTACCCTTTGATCAACTCTAACCCAATTAATTTATCTGCAATGTGTTCCTGGGGGGTTTTGGCTGAAAGGCATTGACACTCTCCAAGTTAGTTTTCCCATCCTTATTTCCTCAAGGAAATAAGGTTTATTTATTCCTCCCTGGTGTAGGTATATTTATTTATCCATCACCATGAAGTGGTTAAGAACATGAACTTTGGAGTCAAAGTACTTGGCTCCAAATCCCAGTTCTCTGACAAGTCACTTAGCTTCTTGAAGCCTGCTTCAGAAAAACTGGTCTCTCCTCCCACAGGACTGGGAGGATTCAGTAAGATATGTAAAGTGTGCATCAGCCTATAAGAGATGCCAATCAGGAAGTTATATCAGGGAAACTGACACACAGCAAGCACTTAGTTTATTATGTCCCACCCTTCACCAACCTCTGCTCCAAGCCCCCACATCTCTCTCGCATTCTCTCTTTCTCTCTCTCTCACACACACACACACACACACACACACACACACACACACACACTCCACACATGGGCACACAAGGTTTGATCATTTTAGTTAAATCTTAAAAATTATCAATGGAACAATGGAGCCTTTACCTGTACAGGTATACTTCCTAAGGGTGGAGCCCCTAAACCACTCCCTTGTGTATATTTTTAGAATGGTCATGCCCTCTCAGCAGGTATAAGATGGTTACGCATATACAAAAAAATCAACGATGGTAGAAATAGCGTAAAATATGGAAGGCACTAAGGATAGAGGGTTTTTTTTTTTTAAGTTATAGAATGTGATTGGTGAAAAGGAACTTATGAAATGTACCTGAATATGCTTCATCTTGCAGAACGTGTTAATGGTTTTTGGTAGGGACTGCATATATGAATAGGATTGGGGAAAGTGAATTTCAAATCTGGGAGAAAATGTCTTTTCTCTCACTCAAGTCCATTCACAGAGCATTTTGGGGCTCCCAGGAAATCTATCCATTGGGGCTTGAGTGGAAGTGACGGGGGTAAGGGCAGAAAAACTAGGGAAGGAGTTGGGGACAAAGTTCTGAGAGCAGCTGAGAACAGGAATGCACTTTTCAGGGTCCAGCCCATACTAACCCTCTGCAGGAATTCCGACAAGGACATACATTCACAAAAATTACTGCAAAGAATAAGAGAAGCCAAGAAGAAGGCAATATGGTGTAATGGTCTTGAAAGTCAGACGGCCTGAGTTTGGCTCTGACTCTGCCATTTGCTGCCGGTGAGACTCCTGGCAAGTCACTCTCCTGGCTGGGACCTCTACTTACTCATCTGCCCTCTTATCTCAAGAGTCAGAAGCATCGGCCAGGCACAGTGGCTCACGCCTGTAGTCCCAGCTATTCGAGAGGCTGAGGCAGGAGAATCACTTGAACCCGGCAGGTGGAGGCTACAGTGAGCCGAGATTGTGCCACTGCACTCCAGCCTCGGTGACAGAGACTGTCTCAAAAAAAAAAAAGTCAGCAGCATCAATAAAGTGTGTCATAAAGATATCACAAACTGTAAAGCGCTATAGAAATGAATGCCAGTATAGGTGAGGGAAAAAAAATCAATAAAAACTTCAAAGTAACACACTCTTTGTGTTAGGTAGTTGTGATATCCAAATAGCCTGCCCCCATATAATCCTTAGAAATTATAGTAGGCACAGCTATCTCTACAATATTTAAAACGGTAGGCCTCTTTGTGGCAACTATGAAAAAATGCATAGGGCGGGAACTGGAGGAAGCCAGTTCCTTTGAAGCCTAACCCCCGCCCAGCGGGGAGGCAAGAGCATGGAGAGAGGCAGCAGTGAATGGGCAGGTAGCTTCATGCCCCATGTCACCAGTCTTTGACGCTCCAGTGCAGGGAAAGTGCCACAGTGGCAGTGTCAAGGTCTTAAAAATCTATCTTCCATCTCAAGAAGTTTTATAACAAGTCATTTAAGGGACTTTTAGATTATCTTGGTTGAAAGAACTACCTGAAGAAAAGTAAAAAGCATCATTCAGTGTTTCCAACATTGAAAAATTGCAGATGTCAAAAAAACAGAGAGTTTCTGCATGGTACTAGCTATGTTCCATTTCCAGAGTAAGAAATTGAGTTCTCAAATACAGATCTTCAAATTCCTTGCACACACCATTCTCTTCCATTGCCCTTCCCAACCATGATGAGGGAGGGACCTACAACCTCTCAATTACCATCTGTTAATATGGTCATAGTCAAGCAAATTGGGACAGAGCTCTAGAGAAAGGTTCTAGAGAAGAGAAGGGACAGTGAGGGGGAGATTCACTCAATACACTACAGCCCCATTAGCAACTCTCCAAAGAATGAAGCTCCTTTACAAAGTTTGAGCAAAAAACATGAAAACCCTGAGTATTTCTCTGCTAGGTAAAGAAAAACCATGGCCGGGCACTGTGGCTCACACCTGTAATCCCAGCACTTTGGGCACCCTAGCCAGGCAGATTGATTTTGAGCTCTAGAGTTCAAGACAAGCCTGGGCAACACGGTGAGACCCTAACTCTACTAAAAACACAAAAAAATAGCTGAGAGTGGTGGTGAGCACCTATGGTCCCAGCTATTCGGCAGGCTGAGGTGGAAGGATTGTCACTTGGGCCTGGGGAGCGGAGGCTGCAGGAAGCCGAGACTGCACCTCCACACTCCAGCCTGGGTGACAGAGCAAGACCCTGTCGCCAAAAAAAAAAAAAAGGAAAAGAAAAAAAAAACCACTTTTGCTCTTTTGCTCCCTGTGCTGAGTTAAAAGCTAAACTAAAACCAAGCCAGCCCTAGGAAACCTGTCATGTCTATAAAGTGTATTGCCCTTTCAAATTCTTCTTCCCCATTTGGGTGGTGATAACTCTTGTTTTTTCTTAGCACCAAACCTTCCTACTCCCTCTCCCTGCTTGGGAAGGATTAGATATTATTTAAACTTCCTGGCTGGCACTCATTCATGTTAAAGTTTAACTGTTGAGGTGTCACACAATAATCATGGATTGAGAACCCCCAGGGCTTGCGTGATAAGCATAATGCATTCATGGAGGTGCCCAGGGAGTGAGAAACAGATGGGTCCATCCTAAGACTGGAGCTGGTTCCACAAGGAAGTCACACATGAGACGAACAAGAGAGAGGGACAGAAGGATGGGAGACAGAGGGAGTGGAGGGCTTTGTTTCATTTGTTCTGTTTTTAACCTCTTTAGAATTATGGATACTGAAATGAATATATCTGTAGGCCTCAAAGATTAAAAAAACACGAAGGAACACTGAAAGCTTTTTCACATTTTACTACAGAGGTATTTGATAGACGTACTGATTATCAGTTAATTTGTAAACTTCTAAACTGCTAATTCATATCCTACTTGTACAAAATCATTTTACAAAAACTCTAAAAACTAATAGATAATGTGTCCTCTGGTGGGCATCACTGGAAGGCATACCTGGGCAGGTGCCTCCCCTGCAGGCTATCAGCAGCTGCAACCAGCTCAGCTGCTGCTGCCTCTGGAGAAGACACTCTGCCCTCCTGCTACCTCTTCATTCCCAAGTTCACTGCATCTTGATTCGTCACCTTTTCTCCCCTCTTTTGTGGCCTTCTTCTCACCTGGGACCCACCACTTCACAGACGATTGTACAGGATAAATGAATAACAGTATTGTATCTTCGTACCTTTCTACACTGGACAAGAACAACTCTGGTTCTCTCAGACATTCAGCAGTCTTATTTCCTGTGGCCTTTTATCCCATAATATATCACTTCAAATTTAAATAAATCTCCTTCAACCAGAGTCCTCAAATCGCATTCATTTTATCCTGTGAGTCATCGTTTTATATAAAGTCCTTCAAGTATCCATATTACAATAGTTAACCCTCATGATCAAAACAACTAAGAAAGTTGTCTTATTACAACTGTTTTATACTCCACATCACCAGGAGCTCTGCTAAGAAAATACAAAAAGGAAAAATTCAGCCCAACGATGAGCTGAAACAGGTTCTTAATGCGTGCTACTATTTGAAGTCTCTAGGCCAAAATTATTGCAACCAAAGAATCAGTTCTTCCAAACATCACCAAAAGATCCAGGATCATGCACCAGACCAGAAATCCACTGTGATGTTGACATACAAAGGATTGTGTTCCACGGATACTAATTTATAAGAACAACTACTCAACCCATCTGTTCTCCAGACTCGTGACACTTGGTGTAAGAGCTTCATCCTAAAGATAAAAAGAACAAATGTGAATGATAAGACAAGAATTTAATGTATGTCTCCACTGCATTTTGCCTTGCCCCAAAATGTAGCAAACATATTTTTGTAAATTATTGTACCTGTTGTGTTTCATACTATCACAAAGTTTGTTTTCCCCATTGAAGGTGACAGACGTGATAGCCATGTATTCATGTGTCAGACTACATGTGAGAACCCAGGGACCCATGATGAAAAGGGTCACTGCACTCAGTGAGCCCCCAGTCTACAGGACAGAAGGATGTGCAAGGAACACAGATACAACAGGATATGTGCCATCCACTGCTAACTGATCCTCAGCTGAGCTTCAGGGGATCTCTGAATCTTCCTGTGTTATAAGGAAAGTTTGTGTCTGTACGTGGGTACATAGCCTTCACAAGCCTCCAAAAATTTTGGAATGTATGTAGGTGAGGATGAATGAAGGGCAACCTAACCTAATGAGGAAGTCTGGCGAGGCATCAGGGAGAAGGGAAATTTCAGTAAGGTTATTAAATGTTTATTAAAACAGAGAAATTCAACAAGTGAAGAAGGTGAAGGAAAGCGCACTCCAGGCAGAGAGACCACCCTGGGCAAGATGCACAGACACGCAAAAGAGCAGGATGCATTTAAAGAAGTCACTAGTGTGGCCAGAGCCATGGAATCTGGGAAGACAAGCAGGCAATGAACTGAATAGGTTCTACTTGCGCAGCAGTGAAAACAATAAATGCTGGTTACCCATGACAATATGGATGGGGATCAGATGCATCACGTTCAGCTAAATAAAGTCAGAGAAGAATAAATGCAGTGTGATTTCATTTACATAAAGTTGAAAAACATGCAGAACTAAGCAATCTTTTGTTTAGGGACATAAACATATGGGAAAACAAGAAAACCAAGAAACAGCAGAAATAACTATCATTATCACAAATACTTATCACGAAAATTCAGAGAGGTGTTACCTGGGTAGGTGGATAGGGGAGATGCAAAGGGGGAGACTACAGGATTAGGGAGGACCACACAGGTCATGCACTCAGAGTGGGGGTGGGAGATACCAGCAGTGCTCATGGCATCAAGAATCTTCACACTTTGCATACAATTTAGGAGCACTCTTGTATCTATTCAATAATTAATTTTTTAATATAAAAGAAAAATGCACACCTATGGACAATGACTAGAAAAATGTAGAAAATAGAAATAGCTATTTTGTTGGAGTGATTGACTCTATCAAAAGGGCAAAAAGTCATTTAATAATGCTTTAAAATATAAACTTTAGGCCAGGCGTGGTAGCTCATGCTGTAATCCTAGAACTTTGGGAGGCTGAGGCAGGAGGATTGCTTGAGCCCAGGAGTTTGAGACCAGCCTTTGGCAACACAGGGGGACCCTGTCTTTACAAAAAATAAAAAAAATTAGCCAAGCATGGTGACACATGCCTGTGGTCCCAGCTATCTGGGAGGCTGAGCTGGGAGGATTGCTTGAGCCTGGGAGGTTGAGGCTGCAGTGAACCATGGTCACGCCACTGCACTCCAGCTTGGGTAACAAACAGAGTGAGATCCTGCCTTGAAAAAAATAAACTTTTAACAGGACTCTTTAATATCAGGCTGAAAGCACTTTAATATTGCTTTAAAATGTAGACTATAACAAAAGCACAAAAAGCCCCTTAATACTGTTTGAAAATTTAAGGGGAAAAATCAGAGCAAAGAAATACAGATTCTTCAATCAAAGCCTTATAAGAACTGGCTTATCTGCCAGGATTCCTTGGTGAATAGGCCAATTCCCAAGTCATGAAAAGTACAAGAAGAACCTAGAACATCTCGTCACGGCAGAGCAGAGGGAGGGAAGCTCTTGAGGACTACTGGGATTCAGGACCCAGCTTGAAGAAGATCCCATTGGCCAAAGATGAGACAATATGAGTACCAAAAAGTACAAGAACTACATCCTGAAGGATGCTAGGAAACACCAAGCATTAGTCTGAAAAAATTTTAATCAGTGCTTGACTCTCTCTTTATTTTGCCTTTCCTATAAAAACTATACCCCAGAGTACCCAAATACACAAAAAGAGAAAGTACTTTGTAGAAAAATCTAATAAATGCCGAAGGAACAACAGAATTAGACTATTACAATTTTGCAACTCCTAATTAAATAATACATTTAGAAATCCAGCATCAACGACTGCTGAAGTCATTAGGTAAAAAACTGATGGGGAATCTCACAATGCATAGGTTAGACTGCCAATTTCGAAACTCACAGATCAATCCTAATATCCCAAAATGACACAACCAGACATTACATCCTCCTGCTGTGACACTGGAGGAAGTACACAACACCACAGATGAAAATTCTTGCCCACAAATAGTATTCAGATTCTGTTCAAGTCTCCAGAAATGAAGAGAAATCCCAGTATGACGGTTAATACTGAGTGTCAACTTGATTGGATTGAAGGATACGAAGTATTGTTCCTGGGTGTACCTGTGAGGGTGTTGCCAAAGGAGATTAACACTTGAGTCAGTGGGCTGGGAGAGGCAGATCTATCCTCCATGTGGGTGGGCACCATCTAATCAACTGCTAGTGTGGCTAAAATAAAGCAGGCAGAAGAAGGTGGGAGAAGCCGACTTGCTGAGTCTTCTGGCCTTCATCTTTCTCCTGGGCTTCCTGCCCCTGAACATCAGATTCCAAGTTCTTCAGCTTTAGGACTCTTGGACCTACACCAGTGGTTTGCCAGAGGCTCTCGGGCCTTTGGCCACAGACTGAAGGCTGCCCTGTCGGCTTCCCTACTTTTGAGGTTTTGGGACTTGGACAGGCTTCCTTGTTCCTCAGCTTGCAGAAGGCCTATTGTGGACTACACCTGGGGATGGTGTGAGTCAATACTCCTTAATAAACTCCCCTTCATATATACATCTATCCTATTAGTTCTATCCCTCTAGAGAACCCTGACTAATACACCCAGTTTATGAGAAAACAGAAGTCAGGAGGACACATTAAGTTATACTACCAGGATGCAATTGAAAAAATCCGTAATGCAAGGAATTCTATTGGACAAATAATCTGGCTTCTTCCACAAATAAATATCAAGGAACTCATAAAGAAGGGGAGAGGGAACCTACAGATTAAAAGAGATCATTCAAATGCCATGTGGACCTTGTTTAGACACTGATCTGACCAACTGGTTTTAAAAATAAAAAAGCTTTTAACACTGACTAGACATTTGATGACATTAAGGAGATGTTGTTAATTTTATTCTAGGTATGATAATGGTATTGTGATTCCTTTTTTAAAACCGTTTATATTTTAAGATACTGAAGCAGTTACACATGAAAGGCTATGACATCTGTGACACGTTTCTAAATCCAGTGGGGTCAGAAAAACACTGAGGGAAAGAAGAGAAGCCATGAGTTGAGAACTGTAGACGTGAGGGTTCAGTGCACCACTTTCTCTCCTTTTGTGTCTGTCTGAAAATTTCTTTAATACAAATCTTTTAACACAATGAACTGGCTCAAATCTGATCGAATTCAACATAGTCCTTATTGACAGAACACACTAGGGAGGCAGCCTGCCAGGCAGGTGAAGCCAGGACTTACCGTTCCGCGTTCACCTCGTTGCCTTTGTCTCTGGTGTGGAAGACCATTGTATATTTACCCACTTCAGGCAGGGGCCGGGATATTTTCATTCTATGGAGCTCAACCCTAGAACAATAATAGAGATTTTTTTTAAGTCCATCCTATTCATCTACCAGTAGGCAAATAAAAAGCATCATTTGCGAAAATTTATACACACACACAGAGTGTCACAAACAGCTTGACTACTGGGGTATTAAAAAAAGAGAAACTTCTAAAATTTCCAATTTCTTATAATGGTGGAACTTCAGGTGATAAGCCCACAAAAGAATGAGATTTAACACTTATTACGGGGGTACAAAGGAGATGCGTTAATTTATACTTAGTCATTTTCAAAAAGAAAAAAAAACTGATAAAGTAGTTATTTCAAAACATCCTGAAGAATAGGAGAATCAAGTCTGTTAGGATCCCCAATTTACTTAGAGTTGCCTTCTTTTAACAAAGAAAGGAATGGCCATTTATGGTCACAAGCTTTAAAGCTACAATCCTAGGTTCAAATCTGGACTCTGTTATTTACAACCTCAGTAAGTCAGTTCACTATTCCAAAGTCTCAGTTCCCTCATCTGTAAAATGGCAATGGTGACAGGGAGTTGATTTCAAAGTTCAAATGATATAATCTGCATGGAACATGCTTGTACTCTGTAATGTATTATATGTATTATATAAGTACAAAGAAGGGTAGTGCCTGTTGCACAGGCGAATTAAGTAAGCAGTAAATCTCAACCAACTTTCCTATTCAAATCATCTTAGTTTATCCACCATATTAGTCAAAAACCATTCTGAAGGCCATGACGGTCTTTTCAAATTAAAGCAAAATTGGAGGCTCCCCTCTACTTTGAAGCTGAAGCGTAGCAGGAAAGAAGACAGTGAAGATATGTGATCAGGGCAAAATTCTACTAATCACCCCAGTGAAGTAGATTTGGGGAAGATAATGGGGATTGTTTATCATTAGCCTTTGCTACTGTTGTCCTGAAATGTAGCAGGAACCCTCCGTCCAGTTCCTAAGTCATGACCACATAGGCTGCTGATGGGCTGGGCTGCGAAGAGCTGTTGCCCATCACTACAGCCATTTCTGTAGAGCCCTTGGTCAGGGAAATGCACTCCCTCCTGCTAGAAACATTCCAGAGGCTCTCAGGCTAGACATGGGAACAAGACCAGCATGGAGCTCCTGGGTTCTTTATCACGAGGCAAGAAAAAAATTTCTAACAGTCACCTATCTAATAATTCAGAACCCCAGGTTAGAAATTTCCTTTCCAGCCAGGCATGGTGGCTCACACCTGTAATCCCAACACTTTGGGAGGCCAAGGCAGGCAGATCACTTGAGGTCAGGAGTTTGAGACCAGCCTGGCCAATATGGTGAAACCTGGCCTTTATTAAAAATACAAAAAAATTAGCCAGACACAGCAGCACATGCCTGTAGTCCCAGCTACTAGGGAGGCTGAGGCTGGAGAATCACTTGAACCCAGGAGGTGGAGGTTGAGGTGAGTCAAGATCGTATCACTGCACTCCAGCCTGGGTGACAGAGCGAGACTCTGTCTCAAAAAAAAAAAAAAAAAAAAAAAAGAAATTTCTTTTTCAAGAGGCAACAGCAAGAGGAAAGGGAGCCTCCTGACACCCAGAAGGGCCTTGTGATGACAAGTCTAAAGATACCAGCCCAAGCTCTTGAATACTTACTTATTTCTGCAAGGTAGGGATAACTATAACTATCTGGCCCCCAAATCCAAGTTCAGGGGAAGAAGCTGTGGGTGGAGGCCAGACTTATTCCCTTTGAGCCCCTCAGAGCAGAAAGCAGTCCAAGAGAACTGAGTCAGGCCTGGGGTCAGGCCACCTGCAGTCCCCACAGTGTGCAGGGCTGTCTAAAGCTTGAGGAGAGGACCTCTTTGCCTGCTTCAACATGTGCAGCTCGCCAGAGGCTGCTGGCACTCCCTGGGGGGAACACTGGGAACTGTGTGTGAGGACCCCCTGAGGTCTGACAGAAAGCATGAGGCTCTTAACAACCCAGTCTCCAAACTGCAGTTCAGCAGACATCTTGCAGTTTGAGGTTTCTCACTCACTGGTGTCTCAGTACGTCTTTCCCACTGACAAGTCCATGAGGCCTCCGCCAACACTTCTGGACCCCAAATGCCCCCAGGTCAGGAGTAAACTGCCACTGGCACAGAACGATGTGGGCCATCCTGCCTTCCCTCCACCCCCTGCACCCTTCAAGCCCAAATCTGCAGCCTAGTGACCTGCTGGACTGGCATCTAAAGGAATAAATATAAATGCAGGTCTCCGGAGCCACAGATCTCCAGATCGCAGAGCCCCGTGAAGGGGACCTTTCTCTGTTGTTCACCTGAGTCTGAGGTCATCGTCTTCGCCTCCCCATCCCCAGTAGTTGTTAGAGAATCCATTCACCTTGAAAAACTGCTCTCTGCTTAGGGCAGTAACACCCCCAAAATATCCACTGTAACGTAACCTGGAGCAAAAGAGATGAGAGAAATGGTAAGAATATTAGTACCACAAGTCTCTGATTTCAGGGCTGGCATTCTAGGAACACCTGGGAGACCATGTACTTCCAGCCACCCACCCCTGCTTCTCCTGCTTGACACCCACCTCCCAATGCTCCTGGCCTTCCCTGTCTTGTCTCTTTCCCTCTATCTAGACAAACGTTCACCTCTGCTCACTGAGCAAGGTGCCACCCGGCTATTAGTGGTGGTGTTTGTGTGTAGAGGCCTACAGAGATACCTGTCAATGTGAACCGCACCGTCAGATATTGAGAACAGAATTCATCTCATGTGCCTATCCAAGGAATGGTAACAGTTGCCAAGGGCACTGGGTTAAGAAGGATTCTGAGGCTGCATCCGGGTTCTGCATGAATGTGTGTCATGATGAATATACCTTTTTTTTTCACTTTCACTTTTGCAAGGGAGGGTTGAAGGCAGGAGACAGCTCCTGCACACACACTGCATGCACGCACTCTGTTTGCAAATCTCCACTTCTCAGCATGCATCTCCAGCTCCGAGTCTGTTCCCTGGATAACCCAACATATGTCAACCCCCCTGAAGATTCTGGCCTGTCAACCAGATAGAGTCTAGGTAGTGCTTTTCATGAAAATAGGCTGTACAGAACAAGAACTAGGTTTTGAGAGGAAGGACAGTGAATCATGCTTCAGATAAGCTGAATTTTAGATACACCTGGGGCTTTGCCAGTAGGCAAAAGGATACAGGGTCCAAGGTCACAAGAGAGGGGTGACTACAGATATGGTTTTGGAGATAAGCTGTTATCATGTAGTACCTGAAGGCACAGGTTGAGAAATCTCCAACAATCTAGTTGGTGAGAGGAGTACAAAGGGTAGACCCAAGGGGCTCAGCTCTGTGGAACCCTAGGAATCCCGAAAAGAAAAGAGGCAAGAGGAGAAAGATCAGGAGGTAAAAGTAAGAGAGCACCTCCCAGCCTCCCAGTTATACAGGACTCTTATCATCAGTGAACGAATTTGTAAATCTCAGAAATAAAGGTATTCCTTAAATATAACATTTCAACAATCCAGAAATGCAAGTTAAGGTAGCTTAACAACTTGGATGTTACTAAATAAAAAGATGTGAATATCTGGAGAATTTTTAACTTTAACTTCAGGTCAAACTGTTCCAGGACCGATAAAATATTTATGATTTTCTAGATAAAAAGAAAAACCAAAAAGAAAGATCAATAAACATGTAGACACTGGCCATTGAACAAGTGGCATCCCAAAAGCTAATCTGTAGTTCAGTTGTTTCTTTCTATGTTCTGAGAAAAGACTGGGGACTCTGTTTAACCCATAAGAGAAACAGATTTACTTATATGCCCCCAACTTAAAATTCTGGGAAACTGTACTTTTGCAGCCTATAATAAAAAAAAAAAAAAAAAAAAAAAAAAAGGAAAATAAAGTGCTTAGAAGGTAAATATCACTGACCAAGACATCTACTAGGAGTGTCTCATTACCATGGTTATCAGAGTGCATTTTATAGAGGGGAGGGATTCTTAGCTGCCTGAACAGGACATGGTGATAACGCAGGCATAACCTGCTGATACCAACAAGCAATCAGCATGAGAACCAGGGCGATGATGTGGTAGCTTATCACAACCAATATCCACAGACAGCTGGCTAAACACGGGAATGTGGAAGCCCTGCCCTCAGAGTTTATAACCTAACAAGAGAGGTGAACATCATCAGGGTTCTGAGGAGAGAGGTGTCACTACATCTGGAGGAGAGCACCTGGAAGGATTCAAATAGGCAGAAAAATGGGGGATTTCCTGGTGACCATAACTCTGTGAGGCAAAGCACAGGAGGCAGAAAGGCACAGGCTGCCCGAGGACCACTTGGAGAGGGGTGAGCTGGAGTGGGGAGGGACAGAAGAAGGCAAGTCAGCAAGAAGGGTTAAAGAATTGTTTCTCCACGCCTGTAATCTCAGCACTGTGGGAGGCTGAAGCGGGTGGATCAAGAGGTCAGGAGATCGAGACCATCCTGGCTAACGTCGCAAAACCCTGTCTCCACTAAAAATACAAATTATTAGCTGAGCATGGTGGCACATGCCTATAGTACCAGCTACTTGGGAGGCTGAGGCAGAAGAATTGCTTGAACCCGGGAGGTGGAGGTTCCAATGAGCTGAGATTGTGCCATTGCACTCCAGCCTGGGTGACAGAGTGAGACTCTGTCTCAAAAAAAAAAAAAAAAAAAAAAAAGAACTGTTTATCAGGTGCCTGTCAGATGGCAACAATCTCTGTGTTTATTGATCTTTGCTTTTGGATTTTCTTCTTACCTGTAAAAGCATAAATATTTAATTGGCCCTGGAACCGTTTTATTTATTTTTTAAAGTGCTGTAACGCCCAAGGGTGGGGAAAACATAGTCATAAAATAACAATAGACTTCCTTGTAGGAAGGAGGCAGGTAACAAAGGAGTTCTTGCCAGTAAAATTTGCCACCGGCTGGTCCACAGCTTCATCACTGACCCCACAGCCAGTGAGAAACAAGATTTGTTTCTGGCTTCATCAGAGTCTGAGACACTTGGGGCAACTTACTTTAACTTCTTCACTCTGCATGTGTGTAAGCAGAAAACCTTTTCTGCACTTGTACTCATGGGGCTGGTGTGACAGTGATGAGGCATGTGCTGACTTAAGCTCTGTGGCATGGGGGCACACAGTTGCCAGCACCGGGCAGACACCCAGCTGCCTGGAAATGAACTTGCCTGCCACAGCGACTTTGCTTAGAGCAAGTAGTCCAGGAGGAGGGCAACTGCTGCCTACATTACTTATACATACCTCTCTCCAGCCACAAAAGATGAGGCTGCTTACATGATACATACAAAACAGAGAAAATCATAAATGATAAACCAGGACTCTGGAAACATTTAAATCAGAACAGAAAATTAAGATGGGAAATACATTAGAACTCTGATCTGCAAATAAGATTCTTTTCAATTTCTAAAAGAGGGCCATGGATTTGGCTCAGAGTCTCTCAATCAAAACATTCAATTACCTGAATCATATTAAGAAAACCTGTCAGTTACTCAACAAAGGCTTTCTGATACCTAGTTATAAAAGAAACATCTGGCCAGTTAGAATGGCAAGTTAGAAACAGCAAGAGTCATCCATGCGCTGTTTCTCAGAGTGAGCAGCATCTGATGAAATCCACGACTGCGACACCAAAGCATGAGTGAAAATCAATTCCTGGCAGGAATGTCCAAGAGCTCAGCCTTCTTATGGTTCGGCTTAATAGAAAGATAAAATCTAGAATCCCAGCAAAAAAAAACCTGTCCTTAAGCAATCCCCTGTTATTGCTTAGAAATGAATGGTGCAACCAGGTGTTTAAAAAAATCTGGGCAATGAGAAGTTTAAGATTATCATCAATGGCAAGTGTCTAAGGTGTTCTGTGTTGTAAATAGTGACATCTTACTACGGAAAAAGTGAACAGATAGTGACATGCTTCTGAAAAAACCAAGTTGCCCAGCCATGATGCACTGTTTTCCTCAATGCAGAAGTGACTCAAAGAAACCAGAAAACAAAACCCCTAGATAATAAGATTAGATCCAAAGATCAAGTTTCCCCAAAGAGAAAAATCGTGGGATTCTCTTCTTGCCCTCTGGATCCACAGCCCTCACCCTAACTCAGACATGTAGCATCTCTCCCCTCAGTTTTCCCCTCTTCCCTTGCTTCATCCAATACATTCAAAATCAGCTGAACCAAGCTTTCTCCCATCCTTCCCCAGCTGTAACATGTGTCAACAGCTCCCCAGCCCCGTCACAGCAAATTCGAACTCTATCAGAGTAAACAAGGCCTGCGTCATCTGGCCCCTGCCTAGCCTCAGTTCTTGCCTCTCCTCGCAGACATTCCTTCTAGAGTACCAGTGAACTACTTGCATTTCCCCCAAAACTGTACCGTGCTCTCTGGCGTGTCTTGGAACTCTGCTGAGCAGCTCTTGTTGATTCCACAAGATTAAGGTACAACCTTACCTGGGGAACAGCTTTAAACCCTTCCCTTCAAGGTGTTTCTTAAAGGCACTGTGCCCTCACCCACCATAGTTTGTTGTAGGTGTTTATGTCCTGCAGCTTACACAGGGCTTGGGTTTAAAGTCAGTACCTGAGGCAACAGTCACATCAATGTCACTTAAGAATTCTCTTTAACTGCCCAATGTGAGGGAGCAACATGGAAGCCCAGAACAAATGAGGTATCAAGAGACTCACTTTCCGCTTCACACTCACTTTGAGTATATACTGGTGGAATCTCCAGCACCATTTGATAGTTTCACAGTTCTCTCTCTCCTTCTGCCTTCCTCTTCCTCTCTTCATTTGTCCCTCTCTCTCCTCATCAAGTGCTTATAATTTTATTTGCAGAAATGCAAAATTAACACAACTCCACTGTAGCTACCTGTCCTCCCCACACTGACACTCAACAGGGAGCCCTGTGAGGGCAGGTGCTCTGCCTTATTCAAAGTGGTCGCATGGCCTCCAGCACAGTCAGCACCACAGACATGAGCACCCATGAACGGCAGGGCTTGGGGAAAGCTGACAGGTAAGTGCGCACACAAATGAGGGAATATAATGTTTCATTTGCAGAGAAACATTCTGGGTCACTATTTCCCTATGGTTGTGCTTGAATAGGAGGTGGTGTAATCAAATAAGGCTGAAAAGCAGCTACGCCCTTCTTAGAGGTGGAGGGGATGGGGAATGAAGACACAGATGATGGCATCTGGCGCTTCTCACAGTGGCTTTGACAGAAATGGACTTGTCCTGGGTGTCCGGGCTCCTGAGAAGACTACTCAGAGGATATGCCCTCCCCACGCTCTAGAAAGAGGCCACAGTCTGGAAAGTGGTATCTCAACAGCGGTCTCACTAAGGCACACCAGCCTGTTGCCTCCTAGAGGGGGAGTCAGGAATAGACAAATAAGTTACTTGCATTCCAGTCAGTGTGGAAAAGCTTGCAGAAGTCCCCGACAGGGGTGCTGTGGGTGAGGCTGGCCACCACCTGCAATGCTCGGATATTTCTCTCCAACGCTTTCCCTTGTCTTTGTGATCCTCTGCCGAAGTTGTTGTAGGGTTTTTTCCTCATTACATTCTCTCACTTCTGTTTCGCACCTTAAGCGATGTATATATCATGGAACATTTTTCCTATTTCTCATTTTCTTAAGACACTCTGGATGCTTGTTCCACCCAGTCTTGATCACAATAGTTGAGCTTCTCGACCTAAGCCACCCTCAGCAGACCACCTTACCTGTACCCAGTGCTGTTCCTGCCAACCACCAGATGCTTGGGATGCTCCTCACACTTGTAAAGGTTAAAGTCATTCTCAGGTACCAGGTCCACGTCATGGAATATAAAGCAGTCCCAATTTTCTTCCTTGAGAGCTTCTAGATAGCCCACATTCAAGAGTTTGGCTCGATTAAACTTTTTACCTTCAGCCTAAAGATATGAAAATTAAAACTTGAAAAGCTCCTGAGATAAAGTTTCATATTGTTCCCCTCTTAGTTAGGATTTAGGAGGTGGTATTATTCTTGTTAACGCACAAGACTATACTTGTGACATAAAGATCTGACAGAGAAGATGCAACGGCAATAAAAGACCATTTGATTTTTTCTTTGTGCTTCACACATACTTATATTCCAGAACTTAGAAACATTCCTTGAAATCTGAAGAGCTGTTGTGTAATGATAGAAAGTTCCAGTTTTGCAAGATTAAGTTCTGGAGATTGATTTCATAAATACACTGCATATATTTATGCAACTAATATATTGCATAATTATGCATAGATACATTGCATGTGAATATTCTTAACATTACTAAACTGTACACTCAATAATGGTTAAGACAGTAAAAATAAATAAAAGCTAAAAAAAAAAGGTTAAGATGGTAAATTTTACATTGTGTGTTTTACCACAATTTACAATTTTTTAAATGCAGTTTTAAAATACAAATAACTCAAATAATCAATAATAATGTATTTTACACTTAAAATGTATTAAGAGTACAGATCTCATGTTAAGTATTCTTACCACAGTTAACAAAAATAATTTTCACTTAAAATTTTACAAATACCTTTATGTATTCTGTATAAAATTACAAAACCTTTCTTCTATACTAGTCATGTCAATTAGTATTAGTGATTCACAGTTCAACCCCAGGTAATCCCAATCTTACCCTCTGTTATGAATTTACACTAAGCTTCTAAGAGACTTAGTTAACAGCCTGCCAGAAAGGATCAAGAAATCTCAACCTATAAAAAGAGAAGGTTATTGCTAACATTTCTAAGCTACTTTAAAGTTTCTTAGAAATCCCTGTAAGAGAATCCTGTTATAATGCTACTGGTAGAGGCTAATCCTCCCAGTGGCCTTATGGAGAGAGATTTGTCACTGGGTAATAAAAGAACACAGTTTGACCTGTGATATGATTGAAGCTGTAATAAAAAAATTAAATAATATTTTCATGGCTGCTTCGTTCAAATTCCATCAGAATGAATTCCAGTTAAATGGTTTATCATAAAAGTACAAGTATTTCTCAGAAGTTACCACAATGTTTTCCTGATAAGAATAACACAAAGCAGACATATTTTTCTCCTTCTCTTTCATTTTTAATTTGAGATGGAATCTTGCTCTGTTGCCCAGGCTGGAGTGCAGTGGTACGATCTTAGCTCACTGCAGCCTTCACCTCCTCGGTTCAAGTGATTCTCCTGCCTCAGCCTCCCCGGGTAGCTGGGACTACAGGTATGTGCCACCACACTCAGCTAATTTTTTTTTTTCATATTTTTAGAAGAGACAGGGTTTCACCATGCTGGCCAGACTGGTCTCGAACTCCTAACCTCAAGTGATCCACCCACCTCAGCCTCCCAAAGTGCTGAGATTACAGGCATGAGCCACTGGGCTGGGCCCAAAGCAGACACGTTTTTCGATTCATAAAAATAGTACTATACCTTGTGGGTTACTGTCCTGAGCAAAAACTCAGAATCAAATAAATCATACCTATGACCAACAACCTTAAAAACAAAAATAGCTATAAAACAATATAATAGTAACATTCTGTTCCAAGTACTAAAATAACAGACATAGATGTGCTATATAAGCACACTGATTTTTAAGAGCCCCAGTTTATCACCAAGTCTATACTGAAGAGCTGGTCCTCTGAGTTGTCCAAAGTTTCACCTAAAAGAAATATTACCAGTTCTAACAGTAGTCATGATTTTGCTGACATTCTTAGAATTTGTAAGAAGTTGAGGGGGAATTATTTGGATGGCCAAGGATAATTGTGAAAAGTTTAGGCACTGATGTTTAAACTGATGTCTTAGTTTTTTTCAATAAACTTTAATGCCAAATAGAGGTATCTTTAATCACCCACTCCACTGACCTCAGAGGTAAGCTCTTCAAAAGCAGCCGATGATTATGCTGTGCTCCTACCAAATCATGCTTCTGGAAGCCAAATAAGTGAATCCAGAAAGTGAAAATCAAACATAATATGTTTCACATAATAAATAGTGGCAAAGTTCAGGGCAGAAATGTGGTGGCAGCCATAGCTACTGATACAGAATATTCTTTCAAATCCTTTGTCTAGATCCCCCATTGAGTAGCTATGGTCGATAATGACAAGACAATTCCAGAATCTCATCATGTAGTGCACATCACGCACAGAAAGAAACAGAAGGGGCCAGGAAGCCTCCGGGAAAATCTGAAGGCAGTCATTGGCTAACATGGAAGGGTTCACAAAACAGGCTTCCTCCAGAGGTTCCTTCAGGGGCAGTAAAATTTCCCAGAACTTGAACCCATAACTCCACACTCTGAGACAATAATTTCCTCTACTCCTTTGAAGGATAATGAGGTAAGAGAACTCTTTTTTGATGATAGTCTGATGTTCCTTTTACCCAACATAGACAAAGAGTCACATGGCCAAGTCTGGCAGAGAGAGGAGGGTCTAGGGCAGGCTCTGGTCTGCCCCCACGCTCACCTGATGGATGACGTAAATGCCATAATCCAGCTGCTGCCTCTGCAGGAAGGGATGCAGATGTTCCAGCAGGTACATCAGGTGTTTCTCTCTGTTCCGGTGGGGAATGAGGATGGCGACCCTCTGTAAAGCTTTACATTCCTCAGGGCGATACCGGCCTCTGGACACCTTGGGATTTTCTGCCTGTACCTCTTCCAAAGTGAGATCTGGTTTGAAAATGAGCTTGCTCTGGCCTCCTACAATGAACATAGAACACAGACAATAACAGTAGCTACTTCAAAAAGTGTTGAGGTTTACATGAGCTAATATGCATAGAAAGAACACTGACCAGTTCACAGTGAGCGCTACAAATGTCAGCTTTTATTATGATTACTTTAAAGGCTCATTTAGTCATGATGATAGCCAGAGCATCATGTCACTAAGGTTACTGGCTGCAAAAGCAAGTGGCGGATATATAATATAAGCACTTCCTTGTGGCTGGTAATCAACTTGCTCTACGATCCATCTGTAAGAAGGAATATCCTGGTGAATCCTGGTAAGAGCAAAGGTCAGGGCTAGACAGAGTAACTTCAACTTTGGTCTATCCTCTTTTCCTTCTCCAAATTCCAGGAGGATGGGAAAATCTCTTAAATGTCAATAGCATTCCACAGAATCAAGCTCCTGGACAAGGCACTCTTCCTACCCCTCCCCTAAACTCTGGAACTACCCCGGCTCCCTGTAAGCAAAGCACTAAAAAGAAGTAGAAACCAGTCTCCCTCCCTAACCCAGCTGTAACAGGTATGTGTGGCACTGCAACAACTCTCCCATTTTGCCACCACAACAGACGTTTCCAATCCAGCACAGCATTTGCTCAGTGTCTGGAAGCAATCCACACAGACGAAGCCCAAAGCCATCCACAGGAGGAAACAGCTCAGGTTTTTTGTGGCTGTTGTTGTTTTCTAAATTCCACGTATACTGGTCAGGCTGTCAAATCTCAAGATGCTTGCAAATTGAGCCATCCCCTTCTGAGTAAAGCAGTCATAGGCCCTTCCTGTGGATAAGCCTCTATGCCTTGTTCCATGTAACCATCCCCTAACCTGGTCATGGCTGCTTACACCAGGCTCATGTGTCTAATGGCACCTTGGGGCTCTGCCCAATAGCAGGCAAGGTAAGCAACTTCTTCAAGCCACCCAAAGACAAAAATTGGCCTACGAGAGCCTTCCTGAAGGGTCTGCATGCAAGACACAGCAGTCAGTAATGCCCTAAAAACAAAGAGTAAGGAATGGAGTTACACAGATGACAACTACTACAGCTGATGCTGGGCTCTCGAGCTACCAGAGAAAATGGGGTAGCTGTTGAGATGGTCTCCTGTGTGGCCTGTTCACAATTCCCATCATTAACCTGACCGTGTCTCTGTTCTTGCAACCTCAAAGAGCCTCATGCAACAGGTCTAATATAAACTAGTCCCCCGACTTACCTTCTCATTGTCATAACTTTTTACATGCCCTAACCTAGTATCTGCTTCCATTTACCCTCTATCAGTCTCCCTATCACTCCCCCTACTCCAACATCTTCTCAAGATCTGCCCCTCCTTGGGTCACTAATGGCCCATTTTAAGTCATCACCAACCACATCAACTTTAGTCCAGTACTTGCCCAGTAATGCATCACTGCCCTCTATTCTTTATGAATGAGTTTACTATTTAAATATACTGTGAGCATTTTAAGCAAGGGGAATAATCAGCCATATTTGCATTTCACTGACTCATTTTTACATCTCAACTTGTACTATCTGTGACGGAACACACAAAGGAATAACACTTTGGCTCTTCCGTGAGTAAAGAGAAGCAGCACGCCAGTATGAATACGATACAGGATTGTGACTCAACTAGGAAAGGGGTGCACAGACTGAATGTTTGTGTCCCCAAAAATTCCTATGTTGAATCCCTAATCTCCACTGTGGGGCCTCTGCAAAGTAACTAGGTTTAGATGAGATCATCATAAGGGTGGAGCTGCCATGTGGGATTAAAGCCCTTATAAAAAGAGCAAGAGGCATGGGATCTATCTATCTCTGTCTTTCTCTCTCCCTCCCTCTTTCCCTTTCCCCCTGCATGTACGTGTGTGCACACATACACCAAGGAAAGGCATGTGAGGACAATATCCAGTAAGAGGGCCCTCACCAAGAAACTGACCATGCTGGCACCCTGATCTTAAGACTAATTTACTGTTTAATGTAAGTTGAGAGGCAAGACATAAAAGATGAACCAAAATATACAACATATTTAAGAAATAAACTACTAAAGACCATATTGAAAAACTTACCCAGTCTGTCCCTTGACTCCATAGTTTTGGCCAAAGGAATACAACAGATGTGACCCCAGTGAAGCTTGAATGTGCTTGCATTTCTCCTCCCATGCTCTGGTGCTCTGCCGATGCCATAAGGAGAACATACCCAGGCTAGCCCACTAGTTTCAGCAGGAGAACAGGAGGCACATGGGGCAGAGCCACCAGCCTAGATCAATGGACCCTATAAATGTGTGCTGCTGAGACTTTTGTGGCTGGATAATAAAAGTGGGTCTGTTCCTATGACGGAATACTATACATCAATGAAAATGGACAAACCATAGCCCCACGAAACCATAAGAATAGGTCTCACAAAAATAATGTTGAGCAACAGAAGCCAAACACAAAAGAGTACATAACGTATGCTTCTAATTTGTAAAGTTCAAAAATAGGAAAAATCTAATGTGTAGAGTTAGAATCTTGAAGCCAGAGTGGTGACTGAAAGAAGCATGGGAATTCCTATGGTTCCAGCAAGATTCCATTTCTTAATTTACATGCCAGTTAGACAAGTATGTTCATTTTCTGAAACTTAACCAAGCGGTACACTTCTGAGTTTTGTACTTTCTTGTACATGTCATAGTTATTTTATTTGAATTGACAGTTTTTGTGACACAGGAGATATATATATTTATGGGGTACATGAGATGTTTTGATACAAGCAAGTACCTGTTATTTTTAAATAAAAAAAAAATGCATACTACTTAATCAAAGGAAAAAGAGAACACTTACTGAGGTAAGGAGATACAGAAGGGCAGTTGTCAAGTTCTGCTTTCTTCGTGGATGCTTCATTAGTCAGAGTTTTTCCCTTCCCCAAAATGAGGGCCTTATGGAAATTAGCCACAAGCTCCTTTGCTTTAGGAATCTCTTGAATGGCACCCACGAAGTAGTTACTGGTGGCCCACCCAACCACCGTCAGGCACAAAGTCAGAAGCAACAGTAATCGTAATTTGTAGGAAAGGTGGGAAGTCAGGTTGAAGCCCATGTTTTTTATTACGTGAATAATATGTATCTCTCTGCTTCACTGCAGGCAAAAAAGCTTCAAGTTGAACTTTTCCAATCTGATTGCGAACTTGATGACAACTGAGGATACAATGCCTGCTTTTGCTCAGTAGTTCTGCTCCAACAATCTAAAACACAATAACAAAAGACACGTTGTTTCAAATGGAAATGCTATCCTGAAATGATTCACTCCAGCACAAACTGAAAACCCATCCCTGATAGACCTTGACTAACCATAATGGTAGGTCTCCCACTTAGGGTTTAGAGATCCGAAAACCAGAGGTTTAGAAGTTCTAAGCATCAATACATCACAGAAGCACTCTCTAGGTTATCGGTCAGGCTGCCTGTCACCCCAGAAGGGAAGCCATTTCCAGATGTTGGACAGAACAAATAGGCAAAGGAGACAAGGGAGACTGCAAACGCCCTAAGACCTGAGCTGGGCACAGCCTAAGACACAGCCCTAATGGTTCTCTGCCTCAGCTGCCCCTTCCTGGCACAGTTTTAAGGGAGGATTTTAAAAATGTGAAGCCTTGTTACAGAAGCACATTTTGACCCAAAGAGAAAATGAAAAGGGAAAAGTCCTTCTTCCTTGTGAGAGCCAGAAAAACATGGTCCTCTATAACAGGGAATGAATGCTATACTCTCAAAGAGGCACTGGCACAGGGCACATTGCAATGGGGGCCAGAAAGAAGTCTGTCAAGAAACATAGAGAATCCCCAACAGGAGGTCAACAATCTATCTGTAAGAATAACAAAACTACAGCATAGTGTTTAAGATCAGGAGTCTGGACTTAGACAGAAACTATAGTTCTACTACATAACAGCTACATAACCTTGGGCCAGTCATTTAACCAAGCCTCAGTTTCCTTATCTGTAAAATGGGGATAAAAATAGTATCTACCTAGAAAAGTTATTGTGGGGCTTAGATGACTTAATTTATTAATATATAAAGTGTTATCCCACCTTGGCCAACAAGCAGACACACTGAAACACCACTTTCTGTACTGTATTTCTCACTGTCAGCTGACAAATCGCCACTCTGACTTCATACTTCAGCAGCATGAGATGGGATAATATGAATTCACCTCAAAGAGGGGGCTATGCCCTTAATTATTGACAAAAATCATGTTTTTAAGATCACCAAGCTGAGGGCCCACCCTGGACCACAGAAAATACACTAAAGTGGTAAAGGCTACCTGACAAGGATCCCTGGGTTGCCGCCAGCAACATCCGCTATACCCTCTCTGTGTGGACAAATCACGTCTCTCCTCAAATTCTAAACATGTTCTCAGAAGAACACAGAAAATGCTAGAGCTAAGGCATAATCTCCATAGACAAACATATTCTTAATTAAACAAATAAAATGGAGACCAAAATATTTTCTATGCTAAATAATCACATGGAAACACTTATGATTAAATCTTAAATGACAAAAAGAAAAACAAAAAATAAACCCTATATATGTGCTATGAACTAAAGACATACAATTAAGGAAAGTCTAGAAAGAAATATACTCAAAAGCTTATAATAATTATATTAGGAGAATGGGATTAGCTAGGGGTGGTTTTTTTCTCTTTTCTTTTTAGAATTTTTAATAATATAGTTTTTATATTATCATACATATTTTTGTATATCACATATTGTCATATTTACATATATTTTACATATATCATTTTAGATACTCTTACAATGAAAACAAAGTGAATTTTTTTAATGGTGAATACAGAGGCCGTAAGTAACTGTAAAAAACAACCACCACCTCAGAAACTCTCAAGATAGTGTCACACTTACTAAAGGATACAATTCCAAAAATTTAGTTTCAGGTTAGTTTGAAGGAAACTTAGAAACTATTTCTCTCTAAACACAATGCTATAGATAAAATGGGAGGTTAGGTTCTTGGGGAATGTTTGACCCAGGAAGCAATTAAACAGTATGGCCTGTGTTCAGGGTCCTGTGAAGGTATCACAGGAAGTCAATGCTGAAGGCAGTAACAACTAATACAAAAGGGCAATTTATGTGTGCATTTACTCTGTGCCGTGCAGTGGGGTAAAATCACTTGTATTAACCTATTTAATTCTCATTTAACCATATGATGTAAGAATTACTAGTCTCCTCATCTTACAGGTAAGAAAAGGAAAGGAAGGTTTGGACAGATTTAAGTACCTTGCCAAAGCCCACACAACTAGTAAGTGGTAGCATGCGCTCTCAGCCCAGGGCTCAGCTCCACATCTTTCACATGGATATTTCCTCTTTTCTCCCCTTGGTGCCTGGGTCGTCCCAACACAAACCCTTGAATATTCAGGTTCCCTTGGGGGCCTTCTCTCTCTCTCCCACATCTACCTTCCCTTTCCTAGGGCCTGTCTGTTCAAATGCCTTCCTAGAGGTCTATTCTTTTCCCACCTGCTAACAGTAAGTCATCAGGTTCCTGAGGCCAATCAGACAGCCTCTTGCAGACTTAATTGTAGGAGGCTTAAATGCTACGATTGGCAATTTTTAAAATAAAGATCTCAATCTTAGAAAATTCAGACTGGGAACATTGCTTTTCTTTATTTTTTATTTTTATTTTTATTTTTTCTCTGTTGCCCAGGCTGGAGTGCCGAGGCGCAATCCCAGCTCACTGCAACCTCCACCTCCTGGGTTCAAGCAATTCTAGTGCCTCAGCCTCCCAAGCAGCTGGGATTACAGGTGTGCACCACTATGCCTGGCTAATTTTTGTATTTTTAGTAGAGCTGAGGTTTCACCATGTTGACCAGGCTGGTCTTGAACTCCTGGCCTCAAGTGATCCATCTACCTTGGCCTCCCAAAGTGCTGGGATTACAGGCATGAGCCATTGCACCCAGCCCTGGAAGCATTGCTTTTCTAAGAACTATTTTCAGAGGGAGAGTCCCCTGGAAGAAAGAATCGCAGAGTGGAAGGAGGTTATGACCCTAAAATTACTGCAGTGTTGAAATCAGAAAAGATCTTAAAGAACACACATCGACCTCCCTCATTCTACAGATGGGTAAGAGATTTAAAAACCTACACAAGGCAGGGGATACATGGGAAATATCTGTACTTTCTGCTCAGTTTTGTTGAGAATCTAAAACTGTCCTAAAAAATACAGCTGAACCTTGAACAACACGGGTCTGAACTGCACGGCTCCACTTACGCTCAGATATTTTTCAAACAAATGCGGACCAAAAATATAATATTCCCGGGATGCAAAACCTGTGTATACAGAGGGCCAACTTTTCCAATATGTGGGTTCCTCAGGGCTCACTACAGTACTTGAGCACGCATGAATGTGGGTAGATGCAAGGGTCCTGAAGCCAATCCCTTCCACATACTGAGGGATGACTGTTATTTAAAAAAACAAAAACAGAAACACCTACCCAAGAACTAAATAGCTGTGAATATTCATAAACTAATATTGCTCAACTGTAGCTTATGGACTCTGTTCAAAGGTAAGACATTTATTCTAAAAGCAAGGAGCCTGGCCGGGCGCGGTGGCTCACGCCTGTAATCCCAGCACTTTGGGAGGCCGAGACAGGCGGATCGCGAGGTCAGGAGATCGAGACCATCCTGGCTAATATGGTGAAACCCCATCTCTACTAAAAATACAAAAAAGTAGCCAGCCTGGTGGTGGGTGCCTGTAGTCCCAGCTACTCGGGAGGCTGAGGCAGGAGAATGGCATGAACCCGGGAGGCGGAGCTTGCAGGGAGCCGAGATCGCGCCACTGCACTCCAGCCTGGGCGACAGAGCGAGACGCTGTCTCAAAAAAAAAAAAAAAAAAAAAAAGCAAGGAGCCATTATTAATAATTACTTAAGTATTAGTTAGGCCTTTATTACTAATCCTGCTTTTGAGACAACATCTGACCCAGTTAAAAATAATTACTTACCTATCTTTCTAAGTCTAAGTGCTCTCCCAAAAACTGTACAAAGAGCCAGCATAAGTAAGTTCAAGGGTAAGATTTCCTTAGCTCCTGTGAGTAAACATCTGAAGTGTGAAGGGTCTGTCATCTGTCTGTCCATCTATGTTTCAAGAGAGACCAGCCAAGTGACTGGAGGCAACCCCTCTCAGCGTGTGTCCCAGCGACAAAATGATGAAAAATACTTATCTCACAAAGTTGCTCTAAGAATTTAATGAGATGATGCACCCAAGTACACTGGCATATCTGGTACATTTCCAGGACACAAGCTTTTTTTTTTTTCTTTTTTGAGATGGAGTCTACTTCTTGCTGCCTGGCTGGAGTGCACTGGTGTGATCTTAGCTCACTGCAACCTCCACCTCCCAGGTTGAAGAGATTCTCCTGCCTCAGCCTCCCAAGTAGCTGGGATTACAGGCTTGTGCCACCATACCCAGCTAATTTTTTTTTTATTTTTAGTAGAGACAGGGTTTCACCATGTTGGCCAGGCTGATCTCAAACTCCTGACCCCAAATGATCCACCCACCTCAGCCTCCCAAAGTGCTGGGATTACAGGTGTGAGCCACTGTGCCTGGCCAGGAACACACGTATTTATTGGCTCTAATTACCAATGTGATTCATGTTCAGATGTTATCAGAATATTGCCCAAGATAATGTTATCTCTGGAATTAATGAGATGATTTTTACTTTCTAACTCTGTAATTTCCATTTTTTCTTTTAATGAGTATGTAATATTTTTATAATCAGAAAAACATAATGACATTTTAAAGAAAGTTATTTTTAGGGCAAGTGACTCCCGATTGGTGTTTGGGAAAGTGCCATCATATTGGATTTATTTACACTAATGTTTAAATAATTGAGAGACCTTTAATTGTCACAAGAGTCTCAGAGTTTTCTTTTTCAGTCATGGCTCTCTTGAAGTGGCAAGGGAATCATCATGACTACCGAGAACAAATTCAGGCAACATGAAAGAAGTTATTTAGGGCAAGATTTACCACTCTTTCTCTTTCTAGAAGTCTACCCTGTAGTTAAAAATGATCATGTTCTCATATTTGGTTTTCTTCCACTCGATTCAACCAGTCTTTTCTGAGTACCTGCTATTTTCAACCAAAGGGGATATGATATAAAGAGAATGAAAGCCCAGTCTTTGTACTCAGAGTTTATTTCTATCTTTTTCTAGATCTCAATGTCTGCAATTTCCTGTCAAACATGAGAATGACTCCATCCCAAAGTGGGAGAACAGATGAAACAAGATGGATAAAATACTGAGAAGTCTTGAAGATAGGTGATAGGTACCTGAGAGTCCATTTTCTTTCTCTCTACTTTTGTGTATGCTTGACATTTCCCATAATAGTTTTTAAAATCTGGCAAGGAAGATAAGCTATAACAAAAGGAAGGGCAACGTAAGTGCTAAGTATCATTCTTGGAGAATCTCTAACCACACACATCTTTACTCCACCCAAGTGGGTGGGGAGGACACCATGTATCACTCTATAAATATTCACTAAGCATTTGCACCAAGGAGAAAGGGTGTGTTCATTCAGCAGCTAAGAGCACCAAAATCAGCATTCCAATGTCTCTGAACTATCAGGAAATTTTGCAGACACAGGGCACGTGAGTGGGCTTCACGTTATCCCACACACATGATCCTGATGCCTTGAGGCTCCGTGGGGCAACACCAGAAGAAAGACTGATTATTTTGCTACTCTTTTGACTCCTGCAGAGTTCCTAGGAGTTTACCTTCTACACATGCATTGCCCCACCTTCCTTAGGCCTTGGTATTCATTATCCCAATTACAACTCCTTTAGAAGGCTTCTGAATGATCACTGGCCAGATTCTAAAGGGGCAGTGGTTCCCTGGGCAGGATAAGGAATGGGATAAAAATGATGCAGCCATTTACATGTACAAGTCATTTAAACCCAAAGATTAAGCTCCTAATGGCCCAACCTACAAGCATTTGAGCAATTAAAAAAAAAAAAAAAAAAAAAAAAAAGGATGGCACTGTATTTTAACCCATAGGATAAAGTGAATACCCACTAGTCTATACTGATAAAAATAATCAAACAAATAAATGAATAGAAGGGGCGGCTCTTTTCTTACAGTAAATTAAAACTAGTAAGAAACTGAGAGATGGAAAAAAAATCACCCTCGGCAAACACCACTTAATAACCGTTGCAGACAAGGTTCACCAATGGATGCTAAACTAATAGGCAAAAATCTGAGGATAAACAGTATAGTCTCAAAGTATGTCCCCCAAGGTAATTCTTAACTACAAAGGGAATGACAGTAACTTTGTAGTGGAGAAGCCCAATCGCTCACCACAAGTTCATTCCACAACATACCTAACTGGTACTCTTCGAAAGAATCAAAATCACGAAAGACAAGGAAAAACTGAGGAACTATTTCAGATTGGAGGAGACTAAGGAGAAAGAAAAACTAAATAAAATGCAGGATCCTTGATAAAATACAGTGGGAACAGAAAAAAAAAAAAAAGAGAGAGTAGGAAAATTGATGAACTTTATTTTTTTTTTTTTTTTAATTTATTTATTATTATTAAACTTCAAGTTGTAGGGTACATGTGCACAACGTGCAGGTTTGCTACATATGTATACTTGTGCCATGTTGGTGTGCTGCACCCATCAACTCGTCATTTACATCAGGTGATGAACTTTAAATAAAGTTTGTAGTTTAGTTAATAGTATTGATCAATGTAGTACAGTTATGTAATGGGTTAATATTAGGGGAAGCTAGGTGAACTCTCAGTACCATTTTTACAACTTTTCTGTAAGTCTAAAGTTAATTAAACATAAAAATAAAGAGTCAGAGACTAGGTATAACCCAAGTCAACAAATGCTAGTAAATTAACTGACTTCTCAAGGAGAATCATTGTTTTTGTATTTCTAGTGCCTCAAACCAACCTGACACACAGCAGGTACTCAATTTAGTAACAAATGATGGACTAGAATATACTAGTTTAAATATATAAGGACACATCATAATTCCAGGCTACTGCCAAAAGGAATGAAACATAAAGAAGATGGGAAATAAAGATTAATCAAATGAGTGCAAAATTCCATCTGAGGAGGATTTTAAAAACTAAAAAGGCTCACCCCGACACTAGCTCCCTTCAGTTCACTAATATCAACACTTTTCTAAGGGTAGGGTCCTCACCTTTAATAAATGACACTTTTGGTCACACCCACTGCCTTCCGCTCCTCTGCCTCTAAAAGTGCTACTTCTCCTTGGCTTGGGGAGGAAGTGTTGCGTGGCCTGCCTCTTCCTTCATGAAGCCACAAAGTGCCACTGTGTGAGTTCCATGGCACACTGGAACACAGCGTACCCGCCTCTGAGCAACAGCCGTGGAAATCCACACTTGAAGCCAGGTGGTCCTGCAACACCCAAACGACCAAAGTTATTTTATGTAGTATATGTTATGCAACATAATACAGAATTCACCAGAATTTCTGATGGGAGGTTTCAATAGAAGTTCATCGTGTACTTATATGTTACTTTCAGCTGTCCCTAAAAAATCAACAGTGGAGTCAGTAGGAGTTTACTTTCTGCAGTCATTAGGGGCACCTCACCCTAAACCTTCTTAAAAAGGTTTAAAAAGCTCTGAGATCATGGGTATAACAGGGCTCTGAAGTCACATAGAGCCGAGTTCAAATTCTTGTTATCAGATGCATGAATGGCTTTTGACAGGTAACCTAAATGTTTTGAGTCTGTTTGGCCATTTATTTAAAAAGCATTTCTCAATGTCTGGTTCCAAGAGTGCCTTTATCAAATACATAAGGGAATGTGTTAAAACTGTAGATTCCTGGGCCCCACTCCAAAGCCAACGGGTCAGAACAGCAGCCTCTGGGACTCAGAAAAATGAAATTTTAACAAGCTCCCCAAATGACTCTTAGCTGCATTAAGGTTTGAGAACCACTGATATAAGAGAATGGACCTGGAATGCAATAGATCTTTCAGATATATTAATTTTCCCTCTGGTTAGGAAAAGCAGTAAGAAGATATGTCAAAATGAGATTTTAAAAATGCATTTGAAAGGTTTTTGATTCCATCATTTAGAAATGTATTCTAAGAAAACAATCAGAGAGGTATACCACGATATTGAAACCAACATTGCTAAAATAACCAAAAATTTAAGAGTCTAAATCTAAATATTAACAATAGCAATCTGATTTAATTAATTATAATACATCCATATGATGGCATATATGCTTCCATTAAAATGTTTACAATAACTACATGGAAAAGTGCTCATAATAGCTAAGTAGAAAAAAGACATAAAGATGTATATAAAATATACATCTGGGTGTGATGACTCATGCCTGTAATCCCAGCACTTTGGAAAGCAGAGGCGGGCAGATCACTTGAAGCCCGGAGTTCAAGACCAACCTGGCCAACATGTTGAAACCCCTTCTCTACTAAAAGTACAAAAATTAGCTGGGCATGGTGGCGCATGCCTGTAGTTCCAGCAACTTGGGAGGCTGAGGAAGGAGGATCACCTGAACTGGGGACGCGGAGGCTGCAGTGAGCCAAGATCATGCCACTGCACTCCAGCCTGGGCATCAGAGTGAGAACCTGTCTCTAAAAGAAAAAGTATATAAAATATACTACCAATTATGCAATACATATGTATGTGCATACCTTTTACATACAAAATGACAGAGTCACTGGTGGTCATCTCTTAATTGTAGGATTAGGGAAAAACTTTTATTTCTTCTGTATCTTCTAATTTTTCTAAAATGGAGTTTTCATCAACAGAAACAATGTTGTTTTCTGATAAAATGACTACATAGTTTTCCTTTAAAATACAGTAGTCCTTGGTTTCACTTTCTGCGGTTTCAGTTAACCGCAATAAAATACAGTAAGATATTTTGAGAAACAGGTGACATTCATATAACTTTTATCACAGCATATTATAATAACTCTTCTATTATTAGACATTATTCATCTCTTACTGTGCCTAACTTATAAGTTATGCTTTATTATAGATATGTATGTATATAGAGAAAAAAACAGTGTATATAAGGTTTGGCACGATTTATGGTTTCAGGCATCCACTGTCAGTCTTACAACATATCCCCCAAGAATAAGGGGGACGACTGTACATTAAAATTTAAAGATAACATCACAGACAGGAATTCTAACTTTTAGTTACGTAAGTTTGACAATTCATTCACATAACCTTTAAGAAAACCTATTCTAAATAGGCCAAAAAGCCCCAATCTCAAAGAAAAACTTCAGAGGCTGTTAGTTATCTTCAGTGCCAGAGAACCCTGTGGTCTCTGTTTGAAATGCCTATTCCCAGGCTCCAGCCCCAGAGATTTTTATTTCAAAGGCCTCAAGTGGGGTCAAGAAACTGATATTTTTGCCTGGACCCGTGGCTCACACCTATAATCCCAGCACTTTGGGAGGCCGAGGCAAACGGATCAGTTTGGGTCAGGAGTTCCAGACCAGCCTGGCCATCATGGGGCAACCCCACCTACTAAAAACATAAAAATTAACTGGGAGTAGTGGCCTGGGCCTGTAGTCCCAGCTACTTGGGAGGCTGAGGTGGGAGAATTGCTTGAACCTGGGAGGTGTAAGTTGCAGCGAGCCGAAATCGTGCCACTGCACTCCAGCCTGGGCCACAGAGCCAGACTCCGTCTCAAAAAAAAAAAAAATTGTATATTTTTAACAAGAACCTAGGTAACTCTGAGACATGCAGCCAGGTTTTAGAAACCACTGTTCATTGATGGCTTAAAACAAAGAACAGAAAACCATCACTGACTTGCTTTGGATGTTTCCACTGAATAAAAGATCTTCAAAGAGAAGGTTAGTTCCCAAAACATGTGCAAGCGTTTCTGGAAAGGCAGGCATTACTATTAGCTCGGCTTAAAGTAGATACTAAATACTTATTATATTAAGTGGCATATAAACTATAATCACAGAGCTGATTTTATTGCCCTCTCTACCCACTTCCCCTTAGATTATGTAGTCAGACAGTTCAATTCAGGTCAGTACTTCTTCACAACATATGTTTTCAATGTGATTAAAGCTATAGGTAGATGAAAGTTATTGCAGTTTCATGGGGTTTACAATTTCCATAAAGAACAAACCTGCTCTAGAAGACAAAATTCCAAAAACTTCTGAACTACATCCAATCAAGCATTACCTCCTCCCCCAACAGAGACCTTCCAGCACTCCCCACCTGGGTCTCGGGAACAGCTTTCCGCATCCTCTTCTGAATCCCAATTTCTCAATCTGGACCCTGAATCCCATTCATCCTCATCTCTCCTTGATTTTCTAGGATCCTCAAGGTGTTATTTTCCTTTCTTTAAAAATTAAAAAAAAAAAAAAAGCCACGACTCTCCACCACACTCAAATTACCATCTTCTCATTCCTCCTCTTCATCACCAAACGGCTGAGGAGGTCTACCAGTGCCCTCACCACCTCCACGTCCCCATCCCTCACCCACTCTGGAACACTTTGCAACAGGATGCACACCCACCTTCTGTTGATAACTACTCTCCTAAGGCTACCAACCCATAGGCCTTTTCTCGGTCCAGAGCCCCTGGACTTGTCTGGTTTTTTTCAAACCAAAAGTTAACAGCTCTTAGCTAATGGAAGACAGAACATCAAGAAATACAGATCAACAGACACTGGATGGCTGTCTCCGAAGTCCTTTATAATCCAGGTGACCAGGCCCTTCGGAGAAAGGTCAAAGGTTACCCGACGCTCGCAGGACTGGGGCTGGGGTCAGCTGATCAGTTTCCCCGTTGAAACGCTGGAGAAAGAGGGTTTCCAGGAAGAAGGGGCTTTTTCAGGTTGATGCACCCGGCGGAGAGGTGCTGGGGGCGACCCCGGAATCGTGACCTGGGTTATGAGTGAGCCCTGGATCTTTTCCTACCTGGCAGCAAGCACCTCGCCTGGCTCCCGGCCTGCAGCAGAGGCGGGGCCGCGCGGGATGCCAGCACCTGAGCCGGTGCCTCCCGCCAGGCTCGGCCTCCGCAGGCCCCCGGCCCGGCCCACCGCTCCAGCTGAGGAGGGCCGGCCCACGGAGGCCGCGCCATCCCCACGGCCGCCCCGCCCCAGCCCCGGGAACGACCCCGGCCGTCGCCCGGCCACCCTCGCACGGCGCCCGTGTCCCGGGAACTGCATTTCCCGAGCTCCGGCGGAGCCAGGGCCGCGTGTACTCACCCCAGACGCGGCCGCAGCGAGCTAGTACAGCCCAGGGAAACCGGAGGCCGCGGAAAGCGGCTCGGGGACCGCCCCGGCCGCCCGGGAGGCGGCTCCTGAGTACGAGCTCCGCCTCCCGCCCGGCCTTGGCCCGAGGGGCGGGTCCGCCCGGCTCTGCACGCGCCTGGCGCTCCACCCCTGCCAAATCGACCACACCAGGGGCTGGAAGGAGCACCGGCTGGGAAACGGAGTGTTGACGCCTCGGCCTCTGGGTGGCTTTAAAACCCTGTGCCAGTAGTAGACTAGGTGCTGGGCGCTTCCCAAATTACATCCCTTTAAATACTCACAAAGCAGTAGGAAAGAGATAGGGACCCTTCCATTTTACAGAGTAGGAAACTGAGGCTTTAGAGAGGCTAATAAACTTGCTTTAATCACCCCGCGAGATTTCAGCCCTCTCAACTGCAAAAATAATATTGTTCCCATGTTGCAGGTCTACTTAGAATATTAAATGAATAACTTTTTTTAAATCCTTATTTCTTCAAAGGTATTATTACAGAAGGCCAAGACAATTAGATTTATACTAAAGATGTGAGTGAAAAATTAAGGCAGTCGGGATAGCTAGATTCTCCAACACAGCCTCCCACTGCACTCACGGGAAAGTAGTAGATTCTCCAAGAACCACCCATCCACTCCACCCAAAAAGGAACAAACCATAGCTAGAGCCAGTGCTGGGCTCATTAAGTTCACAGCAGGAAATCTGAGGCTATACTGAGGCCACAGAGGCCAAATGTAGGCCCTTGGAAGCTGGAAAAGAGGGCCACCTAGTGGCAGTTGAGCATAGGTCAGTGAAATAGGTCAGCACTGCTCCTGAAGAAGGTCCAATGTGAAACTTACTTTTTTGTTTGTGTTCCCTTTGTAACATGCTGTAAGGTTGTATAACCACATTTAGTGAAAAAGGACATTACTGAATTTAATCCAGTGACATTATACAATAAGTTACTTGTACCCACATAGATAGTCCCCAAGTCTTCAGTATGTGATGCCTGGAAGCATAATATACCTTTTGCAAGAATCACTCAGCTTTTCTATATTTGGTAGCTGGTAGGTTATTAATTGGAAAAGTTAGGCTATTGCTTTCAGTAAGTGTAGGAAAGCAAGCAGCAGTGATATCTACAAAATCAAAGATAGATTTCCAATCTGCTTTTGAGGTTTTAAGGTGACTTTCATTGGAACACAGAGAGGCACTGGCATTAATAAAATGGTTTCCTAGGGTATTTTTTTTTTTTTTGGCATCAGTCCAGACACCCAACAGTTGCGTTGGTTTTTCTTGTTAGAGCATGAGCCTTAGCTAAAGCCATCTATAAATTATGGTCCCATGGATTTCCCAGCAGGAAATAAGGGGAAAATAGAAAAAAGGATAAGATATTCATGATAGCAGAGAAGTCTTGATCCATGATCTTGAGAAAGCTGTCCATGTCTAGGATGCCATCTGCTTCTGGGGAGAAACTTCCCTACCTTAAGGTCTCTAATAGGTGTATAGTTCCAAGAGTTTGAAGGGGCTCTTTTGAGTAACAAGGTATGGACTCAAGACTCAAGGCCCTAAAGTTTTACTGTGGGTGGTGAGAGAAGAACATGATATAATCTCTGCTAATGGGGTACAAGAGTAGTTTTTCTCAGATGGGATGTTATTTCCAGAAGACTCAATCTCTGAGTTCTAGATTGTGAAAGGTTGGTCGTACTCAGTGTATCACAAAAGGCTTTTACTTGGTGAAAATATACTTTGGTATAATGGATTAAAGCTTTGCAGGATTTAGTTATAGCAAAGCTTATAAGAGCAGGAGATACAGGAGATTCTGTTATTAAGGATATGGGTCTTCCCAGAACTAGATTTTGTCTACTCCATGATGAGTAATGGAGTACAGAGTTTTTAATAATGGAAGATTTAAGGACTCAGGAAGAACCAGGTGGCCATATGGGGCCTCCATGAGTCCACACTTAGCAATAAATTTATATCCTTTTCAATGTGTTTTGGTTTGTCTGTTCTAAGATGGCAGATAGTAGGCAGTGCTAGTGTGTCTCTCCCACTTGGAAGGACAGAACAGTGTGTAGCAATTAACACTGTGAACTTTTATTCCAAGAACCACTGCAGGAAGTTAGCAGGAAACCAAAAGAATTCGCAGATCCTATGAAAGAAGGAACACACCACAACAAACTCCGTGGAACAGGCAAAAAACTGTGAATTCTCAGTGTAGGAGAAGGGGAGAGCCTGCCTCTGAACACACATTCCTACTGGGGAATCTGAAAATCCAGATCATGGGAGAAGGCTTTAACCTTACCTAAAGCTGGGATGGACTTAGGGAGAAGCACAAAATATAAAAGTAGAAGCAGCAGCAGGAAGAGCCTTGGAGGCATTCTCAGTCTCCAACTTGAGGCCAGGGAAGCCATCTCTGACTATATCTCACAAGGGCCCCCAGAGAAGGCAGCCACCAAACTTAGGAAGGAGTCACAGAGTGAAAGAAGCTGCCAACTGAATTTTTTGGTAATTTCAAGTGGGCTTGAACACCCTTGAACAGAATCCGGGGGTGGGCGGACAAATGGAAACTAATGCAGATACAAGGGCAGAAACTGGGCACCCAGCATTGCAGGCAGATGGGAGGGGTGTGACCTGAAAGCCATGTTTCTTTCTCAGCAGGAAAGCTCATGGCCCAGGGCAGGTCTGAGTTCTGCACACCAGCTGTCTGAATCTAAGCTCAGTGCCGTTAGTGGGGCACCATGGGAACAAGACTGGCCTCGCCAACTCTGTGGGAGCTGGATAAGGACTTTCACTATGAGCTAATCCCCACTCCCCTTGCAAACTCTACTGCGCAGCAGAGGGAGCCATACTCCCCTCTAGAACATAACCCCATTGGCCTGAGAACCACCCCTCCTATCCCCCAGAGGGGCCACAGCAGGCCTTGCCCGGGGAAAATCTGAACTCAGGCCCACCCAACCCTGCCCCTACCTGATGGTATTTCTCTACCTGCCCTGTAGCTTAACACAAAAGACATAAACTCCTGAGAGCTTTATGGCCCTGCCCATTGCCTGGGAAACCAGAATACTTCCCCTAGACAACTTAGGCCAAGCTCAAATGTCGTTACTACTACCACAGCTGGTGTTCTCTTGCAAGTGTCCCCTCCTGGCTGGAAGTCGACCAACTCAGGCCATTACAGTAACTCTTGGCAGAATAACACTGCTTACAGGAAGGAGAAAACAACAGCTAACACCACTCCCTGCTAAACCCTAGCTAACCAGGGGTCCTGAGTCTGTCCACATGACAACTTCACCACTAGCATAACCAGCATTCAAGAAAGCCAGCACACTGAGCCTATCTACAACCAAGAAATCTCAGACTACATCACTCCCCTGCCACCTCCATCAGAACAGGTGTTGGTATGCATGCTGGGAAACCTGAAGACAGATAACATCACAGGACTCTTTGCAGACATTTCCCAGCACCAGCCCAGAGCCTAGCTGGGTGGCTAGACCCGGAAGAAGAATAACAATCACTTCAGTCTGGTTCTCAGGAAGCCCCATTCCTAGGGAAAGAGGGAGAGCACCACATCAAGGGATCACCCCATGGGACAAAAGAATCCGAAAACCAACCCATGAGTTCCAGATCTTTTGCTGGTGGGAAGTTTGTCACAGCAGAGACACAACTGCAGCGCTGGGTACAGTAGGGAAAGTCTGAACCTATACCCCAACAGGCAAGTGGCCTCTGTGATCATGAAGGGCCTTGGAGAAGGGATCCTTGTTCCCCTCTGGCACTCCACTGCAGACACAGCTGGGGCTTCCTCCACAGGAATGCAGCATGGAGGCAGCTATAGACAGCCTTGCTGGAACAACAGAGTTAGCACAGCCCCACAGGAGAAGCAACCCCCAGATTGAAGCCTGCACAAGGGGCAGGGTCACAATTCCTCCCTACTTGAAACATCAACATTCCTATAGATGAAAAGAGGTGCCTGACTGATCCAAATAGCTGAAACAATGGGACAGGAATGAGACTGTGAGGTGAACAGCTTGCTAGCCTAAGAGGGGAGCTGAGGTAACTCCTACTCCTCACCCTGATAAAACCTCAGGACATCAAATTGCAAGCTCCCCCAGCTATCCTCATCAAGGCTGGGGCCTGAGCCCACCATTGGGATTATATCTATTCACCTGCTTTAGCTACAACTAGTACCTACCCAAGAATACCTCCCCTATTGGCCTGAAGCCTGAATCATCAACTCAGTAAATAAAATACTGGGGGGGAAAAAATAAAAATAAATATAGACCACAAGAGAATGAGATAAGCTTCAAGAGATCCCTGCCATTCCAACTTCATAGGAGACAGTGAACTTGCCCACAAACCATGTACATAATTACTACAACCAGCATCAGGAAAGCCATCACACAAAGACTCTCTGTAACTAAGGAACTCATACAGAGTCTTCACCCCTACAAGCACCAAGAATCAAAGTAGGCTGAAATAAATATTAAGGTCTAATCCTTAAGAGGGAAAAAATAAATTAAAAAAACACAATTCAATCAAAAATAAATTCAAGAACAATTCGAAGAAATAGTCTACCAAAAGAAACCAGAAAAGTAATTCTGATAAGATGACAAAACAGGGTTCTCTAATACCCCCAAAATATCACACTAGCTCCCCAACAATGGATCCAAACAAACAAAAAATCTCTGAATTGCTGATAAAGAATTCGGAGGGTTGATAATTAAGCCACTCAAGGAGAAGCCAGAGAAAGATGAAAACCAACTTAAAGAAATGTAAAAAACAATATAGGATATGAATGAAAAATTTTTCAAAGAAATAGATATCATAATGATAAAGCAATCACAACTCCTGGAAATGAAAGACACACTTAGAGAAATACAAAATACAGGGGAAAGTTTCAACAATAGACTAGAACAAGTAGAAGAAAGAACTTTAGAGCTCAAAGACAAGGCTTTCAGATTAACCCAATCAGACAAAAAATAAAATAAAAAAGAATTTTAAAAACTGAACAAAACCTTCAAAAAATATGGGATTATATTAAATGGCCAAAGCTAAAAACAATTGTTATTCCTGAGGAAGAGAAATCTAAAAGTTTGGAAAGCTTATTTGAGGGGATAATTAAGGAAAACTTCAAAGGCCTTGCTAGATATCTAGACATCCAAATACAAGAAGCTCAAAGTACTCCTGGGAAATTCACTGCAAATAGACCACCACCAAGGCACATAGTCATCAGGTTATCTAAAATCA